CAACGTGCATCAGTGTATCATTAATGAACTTAGCTTTTTGGCAGCAATTAACCCAATTGGAACACAAGCTTTGTCATCTTGATTCAAAAAACACACTTCAGCAGTAACAAAATATACCGCCGATATACTTATCGTGCTTATCAATCTGTTCTCTAATTAATTTTACTGGTACCGTTGATACATGACGCTGGCCTTCAAGAGATTAACTGCGCTTTGGTAAGAGATGAAGGTAAAACCCACTTCTACTGATTGTAAAGCCATCCCTTTTCAACTGTTCAGTTGGTCTAACGTTTTGATGCTTCTATAAACATCATCATTCGTTTTTCATGAGATGCTGATCCATGCATAGCAGTTTTCACTATAGTTTTAAGTATTAAAGGCTGATTTTGTTTGATTTTTGGCATATAAAGCTTGTCTCTGACATTCAGAGTTATGCGTAATCCTGGATTATCTTCAAACAAAGATTTGAATTATTTTTTTTAAGTTTTCTTGCTTTTTTTTGCATTTTATGGTCAGCTTTCTTTTCATTTAACTACTGTTCTAAATTTTTTTTTCTTTTCTTTCAAATCAACATCTTGTTCATATGAAAGTGTTCCACATTTTTGCCGCTTGCACTAAACCGACTATCACACTAAATCAGAACTCAGAATTTAAATCTGTATCTGCAATTGCAGCTGAGCTGGGGCAATTTTTGATGTTTTTGAGCGGGCAGTACTAGGTCCAGGTTCTAATTCATCAGTAACAATATTGATACCTTCTTTATCAAAATTCAATTTTGAAGTCGGAAAATTTTTGCTATGCGCGTTTATGGTTGAGGGTTTATTAGTAGATAACGTTTGTTTAGTCCAAAATGTTAGGAGTGTTCCTTTTTTGCTTGTGGAATGAGCGTTTAGTTCTTGCAACCAATGATTCGCTTTGATTTGTAAGTTTTTATCAATTTTTAATTTATTCCACTTCTGAATTAGTTCTTCTTGACAAGCCTTTCTGCTCTTTGTAGGATATGCTGAAATTTTCGCGTCAAAAAAGACACTAGTATATTTTATTTTTTATCCATAATCTGGAAGTTAACTATTTGAAAAAAAAATTTATCTGAATTTACAAATCAAATGCGGCAAAAAATTATTTCAGAGAAAAAATTTGGTCGAGAATTAATAAATACTTACGTTTAAACAGCTACTAGAAAATAATTTTTTATAATCAATTTGTTATATTATTTTGTTTTGTGGTAAAATGTGAATTTTTTTATAATATAAAAAAATATATAATATACAACAATATACAACATATTATGTTGTATATTGTCACTACTTAACACTTAAGTTCGTTAAGTTTAATAAAAGAACTCATTGCATTATTTTGTTTTTGTTTTTTTACATTTTTTTAGAATTTTGTTTTAAAAGTAAATTACTAACTCAAATATATATATATATATATATATATATATATATATATATATATATATATATATATATATATATATATATATATATATATATATATATATATATATATATATATATATATATATATATATAGTGCTTTTTTTCTAGAAAAAACGGTGCCGGAACTGACCTGTATTTTTCTTAAATCTCAAAAATGAAGCAGATAATAGCAATTATTTGTAAATAAAATTTATGCATATTTATAGCCGTTGGTGGGTTCCCCCACCCATTATAACCAATAAGGCGGAAGCAAATAAAAGAAGCTGTTTTCCAATGTAAGAAGCTTTTTTTTTTTGATTTTTAAATAATGACATGTGTTTTTTATTTGGGTGAGTGGGGGGAGGGGGAGGGGTTACAGGGGTGATGGGTCACGACTCTGTACTTAAAATACAAACTGTACAAACTTTAAACTTCTATAACAAAAATTAAAAAGCTTATTTGCAATTTTCGTTAGAGTAATTATCATAGCTTTTAATACAGCTGAATGGATTCCACTAAATAACCATAAATCAACGCATTTTGAAAGATCGAAGTTTGTTAGCGGTGGTCCTACTAATTTGATGAATAAATTGTTGAAATTATTTTGATCATTAATGAAGACCTTGTTGGTATGATGACCAGATTCATATATGAAAATCCTCCTTTGCATTCGAAAATAGGGATGGTATGTATAGTGTGTACCAAATGACTAAATTTTAAGGATAAATGTATTCAAGGAATATACATACCATTTCTCTTTCATTTAACTATAGTTGCGCCATCACATTCTACAGAAACTAAATAACTCTTCAAATGTTCTTCTGTCATCCTATAAAAACAGAAATATTTTAGTAAAGCATTAAATAATCTTTTAGCCGTAACAGTAAATTCCACTACATCCAAAAAGTAAACTTTATTGGTGAATTCATTTCACCGCACTTTACACAGCACCGAATGTACACTATCGGTGTCACTTTTTGGCTTGTAGTGGTTTACTCATCTATCATTAACGAAATCTTACTTTTTAATTTATGACTTTTGCAATAATTTTTTTTTCCTCATTTTGTTACCTATATAATTGATAATTTTAATACATACCCTTCTAGAATAAAGACTACGACCTATTTTAACTCCGTTAGTTTCTTGAAGATCAATTTTCCCATTTCAAAGTTATTAAAGGACTGATATCTTTTTCCGACTTTATATGTAATTCGAAAAATGTATATATATATATATATATATATATATATATATATATATATATATATATATATATATATATATATATATATATATATATATATATATATATATATATTTATATATATATATATGTAGTGGAGAAAATAGAATTAACCTTACCATTTACTGATCCAATATTTTGTAAAATCTGTAATCAAATTTGTGTGGTGCATCTTTTGTACCCATACACATATAATTTTGTAACTGGGCTCATAAAGTTTTTAACATTTACTTTTTGATACGTTAATTGAAATGGGACTTGGTAAGCGTTTAACGAATGAAGATTTAGTTGTAATCAAAGCATACAAAGAGACAGACTTATCTAATCGGGAAATTGCAAAGAAAATTAAGAGATCTTCAAAAGTGGTTAATAATTTCGTCAAGATTGGCCTTAATTTTGAAGCTTATAAGGGAAGTGGTGGCAAACATAAAATTGATAGTCGTGCTAAACGAGTCATTGTACGTCGTGCTGCTGCTCGGCACATGAATGCATCTCAAGTTTGTGCTGATTTACAATGGAAATATTGTAAAGTATTTACAATACTTTACAATATTTACAATGGTTTACCTGAAACTGTTCAACGTGTGAGATTTGCAAAAGAACACATGTCTTTGCAGGAAGAGTGGCACCAAGTTCTCTTTAGTGATGAAAAAAAATTCAATCTAGATGGTCCTGATGGCTATCAATATTACTGGCACAATCTTCAAAAAAAAGAAGAAACTCGGATGAGTTGTAACTTTAGAGGTGGAACTGTTGTGGTTTAGGGGGCTTTTTCCCTAGCTGGAAAATTTCCACTGGCATGGATTTCAACGAAAATGAATTCACAGGACTACATTGACTTATTAGATATTAGTTTGCTTGAACATGGTGAAGAATTGATGGGTGAAAATTTCATTTTTCAACAAGAAAATGCTGCTATCCATAATTCAAAGCTTACAAAGGCTTGGTTTAGAGAAAAAAATACTCACGCAATGGAATGGCCCACATGCAGTCCAGATCTTAATTCAATTGGAAATCGATGAGAAATACTTTCTAGAAAAGTTTATGAAAATGATATGCAATATGAATCTACATTAGAGATGAAAAACTCGTATCAGAGACGCTTGAAATGAAATATCTAATAAAATTATCCAAAATCTTGTGACCAGTATGTCAAGTCGCATATTTGAAGTCGTTAAAAATTCAGTAAGCAATACTGAATATTAAATGAGCGTAAAAACAAGATATTTTCTATATTTTCTTGTATATAATATAAATTAGGTTTATTCCATTTTCTCCATAAATTGAATACTTTTTTTTTTCATCTGTGATTAATCAAACATATCAATTTATAAACTTTCTAATTGTAGAAGAAGATAATAAGAAATAAAGTAGATTTAATAATTGTTTCACTGCCATTTTTGTTAAATTAGAACGAAAAATAAAGGTGAGGATAGTTCTACTTTCTCCGCTGTATATACACATAATTTTTAAAATAAAAAAATATTTTATAATATTAAATAATTTTAGTGATGTCACACTTGTTTAAACTTCTCCCCCTTTGTCACAGATCGTCACGTGGTCTTAATGATGTCAGCGACGCACAAAGCGTTGCTCCTAGCCCCAACAATTCCAATGACTACTTATATCTCATTCCCTTTTTTGACTTTTGACACTGATAACACCTTGAGATAACAAACTAAAAAATTTTCAAACTCAAACACTTAGTCGCTGTATGTTCTGAAGCGTTCGGTGACGGCAATTACGATAGGGCGCAAAAACACGTAACACACATTCTAAATAAAATCCAAGATAACTATAAAAAGAAATTTATTTAAGACTTGTTTTACTAAACAGAAATATTGATCATATATGAAAAAAATTAATACAGAAAGACATCATTAAGACCACGTGACGCAAATCTAACTAAAGATTATCTTTAAGAGTAGCCATAGCAATAGATAATGAAAATTTTTATAAAACGTTTTGTCCTGCCAATCAGGAAAAGTTGTATTAGCTCCTCTTTCGCCATATCTCCCATTGTTAATGATTTAATTTATATATATATATATATATATATATATATATATATATATATATATATATATATATATATATATATATATATATATTTATTCATAAATATATATATATATATATATATATATATATATATATATATATATATATATAAAAATTAAATCAGTTAGCAATGGGAGATATGGCGAAAGAGGAGCTAATACAACTTTTCCTGATTGGCAGCACAAAACGTTTTATAAAAATTTTAACTATATATTTTATTTATTTTTTTATAAATTATAACTATATATTTTATTTATATAAATATATTTTTTCAGACTCAACTTAGAAAACGTTCCTGTTATACCGCTTCCAGCATCCGGATCCTCTTTCACACAGGGCCTTCTATCACTTGTCCTAATATGGGAAAAATCGTTCATCCTTTAGATGGAGGGATGGCACCCCATACAACACCATAGAAAAAGAGAATGTTGGGAGGAGAAGAAAAGGTGGCTTAAAAGTTGTTTACTTTAGATTTCAAATATAGACATTTTAAAATCTAAAGAACTTTGCTATTTTTGAATTACGATTTTTTTTTATGATTGTAATCGTTTTTTTTAAATATATTTTTGTTCATTAATTTTTTAATTGTTTTTCAATTTTTTTTGTTAATTTTAATGCTATCAAGTTAAATCATTCAAATAAGAAAATTTTATTAACAATATTCAATGACAAGAAATAAAAGTCTGGGTCAAACATTTGATAAACTTAATGTTAATCTCAAAAGCCTTGGTTTTCTCACAAGAAAAAGAAGTGAAGTGGGTGGAGCTAGAGAAAAAAAAGCTAGAGAGAAAAATACTTAACTGCATCTACAAATAGAAGATGTAGTTTTTAGTTTAATATGTATATTTTTATTGATCTTTTTTGTTACATTTTGTAAGTAAGTTTGTTAAAAAATACCAACTTTGTTTATATTTAGTTATGTTTATAAAAAAACTTTGTTGAAAAGATATACATTGTGTCTCTACAATTAAATAATTAACAGTAATCACTGAATTTCTAACGGAGTATCTAATAAGTACTTACAATAAATTCGTAAAAGAACTTAAAAAACAAAATATTTTTTTTAATTTTAGATATATCTTATAATGCTTTTTCAGCATTTTGCAGATTAAATAGAGAGCCCACATTTCACAAGGTACATAAGGTGTCAGTCCAAATTAACCTTTTTTTTTTTTAATAGGGAGTGTGGATCCTGTATAAAGTAAAATATGAGAAAAGTGAGCGTTAGGAAAATAATACGCTACAATTAGTATTTTTATCATTAATTATCTATTGGTCTAATCTATCTATAGCTTTTATTTGATATGATACTGATGTAGTTAAATTATTTTTGTAAATAAAACTTTTTTTCATTTTAATTGGTTATTATGTATAAATAAATTGATTTTCAGTTAATACATGTGGTGTATTATTTTCCTTTTTTTAATGCGATTACTTTTTTTAGATTAATCAGATGACGTTTTCTTTCAATATAGACATACCATTGAAAACTATTGAAAATTGTTATGTTTTGTTAATTTATTAATAAATGTGTAAATAAAAATACTTTTTATTTTACAAAGCTATTAGACATTTTTTTGAAACCGCAATCCGTAATGATTTGTATTTTATCTATGTGAACAAAAGTCTATGTAAATATCTAACATGTAAACTTTAAGTTGTGTAAATTATAAAAGTTGCATCTAACTTTATAAATTTGACTTGAAGTTTTCATTGCGGCAATATCTCCTTAATTCTGATTTATAGTATTTCTATCCCGTTATATAAAGTTTAGCAAGTCTTTTGTTTATGACCTAAACAAAAATTATGGACTCTTAATTTTTCTGCAGAAATAAACTTTCAAGCATTAGTCGAACATACAACAATACGCCTAATACATTTGCAGAAACAAGTTATCAATTCCATGAATGATCTTGAAAGACTAACATTACATTCTAGAGTTGGGTTTGATGGATTAACTAGCCAAAGGATTTATACTCATAGGGTTAGAACTATTGTTATTGTTATTGTAAAAATTAAATACAATAACAATTACAATACAATAATATTGTATTGTAATACCAGAGATGCAATTAAAACATTATTTTATGGTTATTGTATTGCTGTGAATAAAAAAAGTTACAATAACTATTATATTGTTTTTTTTCTAACAATACATTGAAGCTCTAAAATTATTGTATTGTTTTGCTGTGATGTAATACAATGACATTAACTATTGTATTGTATTACTGTGATGTAAAACAATTACAATAACTATTGTATTGTTTTGCTGTGATGTAATACAATGACATTAACTATTGTCTTGTATTGCTGTGATGTAAAACAATTACAATAAGTACATTGATGTATTATATTACTATTTCAAAGTCTAATAGCTGTAGTATTTTATAGTATTTAGACTCTTTTTTCACGCATTTATTATTATTTGGGCACTAGATAATTTAGGGGTGCCCGTGACGCTCGTTTTCAGCAGTCATTTATATATATAAATTTTATTTATTTTGAGAAGTGAAGTGAAGCCAGGGAAGTCAAAGAAGTATATATACTACGTATACTTAATAAATATAAGGTTTCTAGAAACCATTTGCATATATAAGTTTTATTTGTTTTGAGTTCAATAATATAACTGTTTCAATAATAATTTAATATATATATATATATAACTGTTTCAATAATAATTTAGAATTAACATTAATAATATTCATTCAAAATCATATAAATATATAGTTTATCATATGTTTGTAATTAAATAATTATTTACTTTAAGAAGTAAAATTTTATATTTTTTTATAATTTTGTCTAAACTGATATTGACATATTTCACCGGATGATGACGTCTAAACTAATTGATTAACTACATTAAGCGCTTTTTTTTCAATATATCTAACCGCTAATGTGTAATCAATTACACCGTTATGAAATCAAAGAACCATTAATCTGAGTAATTATTGATTAGATTGTCTGAAAATGTGTACTACTTTTGTTTTGTTAAAAAATTTTCTACATTTTCAGATTGTTCATCACCTATCTGACCGTACCAATAAATTTTGTGTGGATCATTTTTGAAAAATGAGGCAGTTTAGAACACCAAATAAATATTGGTTCTTGATTAATGTAACAAAACTCTTTTATAACTTTGCAACTAGATGTCCAGTTACTTTATGAAACACATACAGCCATTAAGCCGAAGGGAAACAAAAGACAAAGTTATATTAGAGTAAGTGTGAGTTGAGTAAGTTTCGAAACAACTGGGTAGGTGTCTAATGTAGTAGCAAATAACTAAGTGAAAGAAATGGTAGTAATTGATCATGTCTATCCCCAGCAGTAAAAGAAACACAGGCCCGAATAAACTCACTTTTATAGAGCTATATAAAGTTTATAAAATAAAAATGAAACAGAATCAATACTTATATATTATTTGTACCCTATTTCAAGGTCACTTATCTCAGAGACTGGACTGTTAAAACATTTATTAAATTTTTACTCTAAAATAATTTTATTATTACAATAACAATATATTGTTATTATATTATAAAGACGAATTACAATACAATGTTTATTGTTATTGTAGTGGGTCATTACAATACATTTTTTTTTTTCAGATATTGATATTGTTTTATAAAGATGAGTTGCAATACAATATTTATTGTTATTGCATTACGTTATTACAATAGTTGTAAATCACAAGTATTGTTATTGTTTCTTAATTAAGTTAATACAATAACAATAGTTATTGTTACTGTTTTTGTTTTTATTACAATTACAATAATCGTAACCCTATTTGAAACAGTTATTGATGAAGTTATACGCAGAGTTAAACAAGCAAAATACTATGGCTTTTTGCTCGATTGCACCAGAAACGCCTTGTATTAAATAAATGTTAATAATATTAAGATTTTGCAATTCCTCAACTCGAGCGATAGAGGATCATTTTGTTGGTTTTCTTGCCATTACGGAAACTACAGGAGAGTATTTAGCAAACGCCGTATTACAAGAGCTAGAGAGAAATCGCCTGGATATACGAAATTGTCGAGGAAAGTGATATCATAATGGCACCAATACAATAGGCATTAATAAAGGTGTCAGAAAAAGTATACTCAACATTAATCCAAGAGCATTCTTAACACCGTGTGGATGTCATAGCTGGAATTTACTTTTAATAGATGCAGCTAATTCTTCTATAACAGCTAAAACATTTTTCGACTTTATTTATAAAATCTATGTACTCCGAAGTCAAGCATGCGTTGAAAACTTTTAAAAACTAAATTGAAACTAAAACTAAAACTTCTTTCAGAGACACATTGGGAGAGTAGAATAGGAGCAGTAAAAGCTGTACTGTTGCAATTTGATAATGTTATCGAAAGTGTGAATAACTTGCAAAATAAAACAGACGATTCGGAAACTCTAAGCAAAAACTAAGCAGTTATGAACTAAATGTTAAATTTCAAATTTATTGTTGCTATACACGTGTGATATGAGATTTTATTACATGTAAATAATATAAGTAAACTATGACAATCAGTTCCAGTAAACTTAAAAGTCACTGTTGGTACTTTACGTTCATTTTGTGCCTGGATTCAAGAGTTCTGTGATGTTGGATTTGAGAAAAGCGTTGCAGATGCTCAATTGTTTGTGCAAAAAAGGCGCTTACAAAATTGAGTCACAATTTTAGGAAAAAAAGACTAGCACGAAAATACAAATGTTTGGTTATGAACACATGGATGAACCTATACAGTCTGGTGAAATACAGTACTTACAGTAAGTACAGTACAGTTTTTATGATGAAATATCTATGTCAGGAGCTCTTCCTTTAATTAATCGGCCGATTAGAATAACCAAAACTTCAACTACGTTGATTGATAATATTTTTAATATAATATTTTTACAACATATATTTATTATAGGAAATTAAAAAAAGGAATTATAAAAACCGACATATTCGATCATTTCCCCATTTTTCTAACAATCCATACTGTATACTCTAATAACCCCAAAAGACAAAATATAATAAAAAAACGTGTCTTCAATAAGAGCAATATAAAATCCTTCCAATATCAATTATCAATTCTGCATTGGGAAGATATTAACTTTAATGAAGACGCAAATACAATATATAATAAATTCTTTGATACGCTCTTCTCAATATAGGATGCAAACTTTTCACTTTGTGAAAAAATAACAAAAATAAAAACCTTAAATAGTCCATGGATTACCAAAGGACTTAGAAAATCCTCTAAAATCAAACAGAAACTATATATAAAATATTTAAAAACAAAATCAAACGAAAACCAACAAAAATATAAAAACTACCAACATTTATTTGAAAAATTTCGTAAAAAATTAAAAAAAAATTATTATTCAAATTTAATTAGTAAATTTAAAAACGACTCAAAAAATATTTGGAGAACGCTGAAAGAAATAACAGGAAAACAAAAAACAAATTCAAACTCCCCTCCTAAAGTAATTAAAATAAATAAAACAAATATATATAAACCAAACAAAATTGCAAACGAGTTTAATAAATATTTCATTGATATAGGAACCAAATTGGCTATCAAGATCCCTATTACAGAAAAAATTTTTAGTGATTTCCTAGAGCCTACAAATAATTCGCTTTTTATAGATAATTTACATTCTGACTTATCTTTTGATGAGTTTGAGAGAGCTTACAAATCTCTCAAAAGAAACAAAGCTACGGGTGCGGACAAAATAAATGGCAATATAGTCATAGATTGCTTTGAAAACTTAAAATGTATTCTTTATAAAGTCTTTAGGGCGTCTATACAGCAAGGTGTATTCCCCGACCAATTAAGAATAGCTAAAGTAACTCTTATATACAAAAACGGAAAAAAATCAAATATTAGTAATTATCTCAGTTCTTTCAACTTTCTCAAAAATTTAAGAAAGAATTATATACAATAGAACATACAATTACCATAATCTAAATAAACATCTATATAAAAATCAATTTGGTTTTAAAAAAAATTGTTTAACTGAACAAGCCATTACAGAGTTCATTCGTGAAATCTCCAATTCATTTGGTAGATCACAATATACATTAGGTATTTTCATTGACCTATCAAAAGCATTCGACACGACAAAATTCTACTTAAAAAATTCAAATTTTACAGAATTAATGGCAAATTAATAAAATGGTATAAAAGTTACTTGAAAAACAGAAAACAATTTGTTTTCTATGGAGATTATTTTCAAAATGAAAAATTAATTGACATAAAATGTGGTGTTCCACAGGGTTCTATTCTAGGCCCACTTTTGTTTTTAGTTTATATAAATGATTTAAATAAAGCTTCTAACCTTATGAGTATCATTTTTGCGGAAGAAACTAGTTTATTTATGTCAAACAGTGACATTTATGAGCTTTTTTCAATTATAAATAAAGAACTCAATCAGATCTCCAACTGGTTTAAGTGCAACAAGTTAACTTTAATCATTGAAAAAACAAAATGGATCCTTTTCCTCTCTCTTGCAAAAAAGCGTTTTTTACCAAACAAATTACCTATCTTTTTATTGATAAAATTGAAATAAAAAAGGAGTCGGTCACAAGATTTTTAGGCATTTACATTGATGAAAATATTACATGGAAGTATCAGATCGACTTTATTTCTACTAAATTGGCTAAAAGTAATAGAATTCTATATAAGGTCAGATACTATCTAAGTAAACAAAATTTAATTCAACTCTACTACTCATTTATTCATAGCTATATAAATTATGCAAATATTGTTTGGGGAAGTACCACTAAAAGTAAGTTGCGAAATCTCTACCATCGTTAAAAACACGCAGTGCGTTTAATATGTTTTGAAAACCGTTTTTCCCATTCAAATATTTTATAACGTTAAATCACTTAACGCTTACGAACTCAATGTCTATAATATTTTATGTTTTATGTTTCGTTGTAAAAGTGAACAACCATTGTCCAATTTCAAAGATCTTTTTACTTATAAAGCTATAAACAAATATGCTTTACGAAATAATAATTTATTAATTGAACCCTTTTGTTAAACAAAGTTTAATCAATTTTCCATAAACTATCGAGCACCGTATTTATGGGACAAAATTGTTGTTTCAAATTTCGATTTGTTAATTTCGTTTTCCATTTTTAAAACTAAATTAAAAAACTATATTCTTTCTACTGACAATTTATATAAATATTTTTGAAATGTAAAATTTTTTTTTACTCTTGATAATTTGTAAAATTATTTTCAGTTTTTGTTTCTTCTACATTGTTAATAGTTATCAGATCAATTGTATTTTTATTTTATTATATATACACGTATAGTATATTTAAATGATTCTGGCGACAAGATCATTTGGATCTTCTTTCAGATATCAAGTTTATATATTGTTATATTGTTATATTATGATTAATAGTAATTGTAAACTTAAAAAGTACAAAGTATTTTTTTTTTAATACAATGATAGAGACATATTTGATACTGAATATCGATTCAAAGCGCCTAATGAATATTTTGACCGTTTTCATTTTATTTACGATATCAATCATTTGAATGTTTTCCCAAAAGAGAACCGGCTCAAGCTTTGTAATAATTTAGGTACAATACTTCGTGAAGGTGAAAATAGCGACATAGATCTTTTCGGACTTTATGAAGAACTGAAAATTTTAAAATTTATTTTACTAGAAAATATATTTGAGGGGAAGCAACAGTACATTTTAGAAAATAATTTTAAAGAAATATATCCAAATCTTTACATAACAATCAGAATCTCACAATTCCGTAAGTACAACGTCTGCTTACTACAGCTTACTACTGCAACTACAGCTTCTGCTGAGAGCAGAAGAGCAAGCTTCTCAAAGTTAAAACTAATAATGACACAATTTTAAAAAGATTCAGCGAGGCTAAAAGCTGAGCATTTTGTCTTTTTTATTTTGTGTTTGTTCGTGTATTTATTGTTATTAATTCATGTCGTAATTAACAATAAAACTTATATGCTCCTCCTAGATTTTTTTCCAATCTAAATTTTTAATCTTATAATGAAACCTAGTATTTAAATATTAGAAACAAATAAGTGTGAATACCCATATCAAAATTATGTGTAAAATGAATAAATTTAAAATTATTAACGAGAACAGCTCTAAATTGTGTTTATAACTTTCTATAAAATATATTGCTAAATAAAAGTTCAAGCCAAAAGATGCAGCCAAATTAATATTTGCTTTTATTCTTTTTTTTTTTTAATAAAGGGGCCTTGCAAAGCTATTTTTGCCGACGTCCAATATTTACATAGCTCCACCGCTGTTTATTAGTTATTATACTATTAAAACTTTTTTTTCACATCTGAATAATAACTGTAACTATATTGCACAAACTTCATGGCCAATAAGTGTCATGGAGTTATTAATAGGAGCCAACTCCATAACTCTAGGCCAAAAAGAGTCAAGGTGTTATTATTTGGATTCAAAAGTACTTTTTAATTTAAAAAAACAAGAATTTCCTGCCACTGTAGAAAACCAGATTCTTGGGGCAATGCAACTTATAAGTATATAAGTATCAAGTTGCATTGCCCCTAAGAATCTGGTGTCGTCGGCCCTGATATATATATATATATACATATATATATATATATATATATATATATACATATATATATATATATATATATATATATATATATATATATATATATATATATATATATATATACATACATATATATATATATATATATATATATATATATATATATATATATATATATATATATATATATATATATATATATATATATATATATATATATATATATATATATATATAGGAGGGGGATATAACGTAAAATTGATACTAAAATTAAATATTGTTTATATATACAAATTAGAAGCAAAAGTTTTATATACATATATGTGTGCAAATGATTAGCAAGGCTAAATGAGTTTGATGAATGCATCATCTATAATGTACCCTTTATAAATAAAATAATATTAGATAAATACTCATACAAATACTTAAATATAAATAGTATTTATATAAATAAATACTTAATACTCATCCAAATCAGCAAAATAAAAAGAAATTTGAGTTATGAATCCATAACGTAGTTAATAACTACTTAATTAATAAAGACTTTTGGTCGATTTGTAACTTAAAATTGCTAATGTTTGAAAACACTATTAACTTTCGGCAAAACAACTGTTAAATACAATGTAAGAAACAGAATCCATGCTCCATGAAAAAAAATTCCCAAACGTAAGGATAAAAAACCATATCTTTTTGCATTATCGGAAGCAAATTTAGCCCTACTGAGATTACCTTCAGCAATAGCAGTATTGACCTAAAGTAAAATTAAAAAATTGCTTTGTTGATCTTAAATATTGAGATTAACATATAATTGACATGTTTGTCAATTATAAAATAGAAAAAAATATCACATAACAAATTTATAAACCTCTATTGATTTAACAATAGCAAAAAGACCACATGGCCAACAGCAAAACAAACAAGTTAACCATGCAAGTATACTATAACTATTTGGTGGTGGTCCTGAATAAAGTGGAAAAGATGAAATAGCCTCTGTTTGTGGATTTGTAATAACAGTTGCTTGATATGGCTAAAATAATAATGATAGCATATAAATATATATATATATATATATATATATATATATATATATATATATATATATATATATATATATATATATATATATATATATATATATATATATATATATATATATATATATATATATATATATATATATATATATATATATATATATATACATATATGTTTATATAATATCAGAATAATAATAAAATAAATTCAATTAAATTTGAAATCATAACTCAGAGTTTCACGCTTTAAGCGATCCTCAGGCATTACAAAACAACCATAGCAACAAAAGATTATATACAAAAATACAATATAGTGTTAACATGGATGACGTTAAAGTTGCAGATAGAAAATTTGTTTTCGTGGCGACATTTTGAAATTAGTTTATTTTGTTTATTCAATTATTTCAAAGATAAGCTAATGATGTGGTACTTTTTGGTTAAACAAAAGTTACACAACTTTCCTCCAGGTTTAAATGGTTCCGCTCTATCAACTGTCAAGTCAGGTTTATCCTGCTACTGGTAACATGTAACCCAGTACAATCTGCTTCATGTCCTGCTGCCTTGTAGGATATGCCTTTTTAGGCAAAGGCTAGGAGATGCAAACTCTGACATAAAACACCCCCTGCCTTTGGGCTCTTGGTTGAGTAAAGACTAGAGATGGTGTCTCGATAAAAACACTCATCTTGGGCCGATGTTAAATGCATCCGGCTGCTGTCTTGTAGAAGGTCTCCTAGGCAAAGACTTAAGGGGTAAACAGATTCTATCTGTTGACCAGCCTCGCACCCCTTCTTCATCTATTAGGCTGGCGCAGATGTATTTTTAATACATTGTTTCCAGTTTAGGATGTTGAACGCTGGATCTTCTTGACTCGATTCATGGGTTTTGTTTTTGTGTCTGTTTTAATGACTAGGCAACTCATTCTATTATCTCCAAATGAGGGTACAGCTCTAAAACTCAGTTTTATGGTTCTGAGGCCGGCTGGTAGTCAGGTTTCTCGAACTCTGCGGTAGCTTTCAGAGAGGCTGATTCCATCAACAGCTAAAAAAATCAGAGTACTAACAGTGTCATGTTGCGCATATATGGTGTCCCTGTTTGTACTTTTGGTGTGCATTGCCAAGGCCACATTGGAGCCCTTTGTTACGGCTTAGGGTTTATTAGTGGAATTGAGGGAATTGCTTGGGCTATAAGACAGTGTACTGAGTACTATCAATGTTTCGAGTCAAGTTCTTTAACAAATTTAAAAATGAATAAAGTAACAAAAACTATAAAACACAAAAAACCACAGTCATCACCAAGTTCGCTAAACCTATCATTCACTAATATTCGTGTTCTTTGAAGTAACTTTTCTTCTGTTGAGTCTTATTTCTTGCAAAGTTCACCAGAGCTACTTGCTCTTTGTGAGACTAATTTGAGTTCAGCTGTCTCATCTTGTGATCTTAGAGTTGATGGTTATCATCCTTTAATTCGTAAAAACTCCAATAGTCACATGCTTGGCATAGGCATTTACATTCGTAAGAATTCACCCATTTGTCGGGAAACGAGGTTTGAATCCACAGACTACTCTTTTATGTGCTTCCGTTTAGCACCACTTTACTCTATCACCTTTCTCTTTGTTCTATATCGCTCTCCCTCATCTCAAGACTGCACTCTTCTTGATGTTATTTCTGATTATATTGACCAAGCCTTCATTCTTTATCCATCCGCCAATATTGTTGTTGTCGGTGACTTTAATGTTCATCACACTGAATGGCTTGGCTCTAGTGTCAGTGACTCTGCAAGCATTAAGGCCCACAACTTTTGTCTTTCTCAATCCCTAACTCAAATAGTCAACTTTCCAACTCGATTTCCAGACAACCCGAATCATTTACCTTCTCTACTCGACTTATGTCTTGTTTCTGATCCTAGTCAGTGCTCAATTTCTTCACACGCACCCTTAGGTGCTTCTAATCATGGTTTGGTTTCTCTAAAACTATTATCTCATTCTTCTTTATCATTAGAATCCCCCTATCATTGTACATCTTACAACTACTTTAAAGCTGACTGGGACTCTGTCAGGGTTTCCGTGATTTTCTTCGCCAGGGTTTCCGTGATTTTCTTCGTGATGGCCCCTGGGTAAAAATCTTTCGTCTCCCTGTTGACAAATGTGCTTCTTACATAACTTCGTGGATTCAGGCTGGCATGGAATCTTTTATTCCCTCTCGACGATTCCAGGTCAAGCCTTACTCTTCTCCATGGTTCTCCTCACATTGTGCTGCTGCAATTGCCAATCAAAACCATTACTTCCAAATCTATCAGCAAAACAATTCTCCAGAAAACAGACGTCTGTTTATTACTGCTAGGAACCATTGTAAAAAAGGTTTTGTCTAATGCCAAAGCTCGCTATTTTCAGATCATGAAATGTCATATTTTATCACAAAAATTAGACTCTCGTGACTTCTGGAGAATCTTTAATAGTATCAATAATAATGGCAAGTCTGTAATTCCACCTCTTTTGTATGGTTCAGACTTTGTCACCTCACCTAAAGAAAAAGCTGAATTGTTTGCCAAGAACTTTTCAATATCATCTCTTGATGCAACTAGTTGCGTTCTACCTGATATAGCCGTCAAACAGGTTGATCCATTGCTCGACGTTCGTATCACTCCAGCTTCTGTATCTAAAGTGATTTCCTGCTTAGGCTCTTCTGCAGCTTGCGGCCCAGACAACATACCTGTTATAGTCTTGCAAAAGTGTTCTCTGGAGCTGTCGTCTATCCTTACAAAACTATTGAACAAGTGCTTATCAGAGACTTGTTTTCTAGCCTGCTTGAAAGCAGCATCTGTTATCCCTTTTTTAAAAAATTTTGGAGAGCGATCCGATTCGTCTAACTACCTTCCCATTAGTCTTCTTCCTATCGTAAGCAAGGTTTTTGAATCTTTAACTAACAAACACTTAATCTCGAATCTTGAATCTCATAACCTACTTTCTGATCATCAATATGGATCTCGATCTTCTCGTTCTACGGCTGATTTGCTATCAGTAATAACCGATAGATTTTTCACGCATTAGATAAAGGTGGAGAGGTTAAGGCCATTGCTCTTGACATTTTAAAAACGTTTGATAAAGTTTGGCATGCTGGTCTTCTCCATAAGCTTTCTTCTTACGGTGTATCTGGAAACATCTTTAAGATTATTGAATCCTTTCTTTCCAATCGTAGTATAAAAGTTATCATTGATGGACAGCACTCTTCTTATTATTCTGTAACCTCAGGGGTTCCTCAAGGTTCAATCCTTGGCCCTATACTCTTTTTTTAATTTACATTAAAGATCTTTCAGATATTCTCACATCTAAGGTGGCATTGTTCGCTGATTATACTACCATTTATTCTTGTCACGATAAGAAGCCAACTTCCTCTGATTGCTTGCAGGGGGCATCTGAGTTTGAAAAGAATCTCACTTCTGCTACAGCATGGGGCTGACAGTGGCTGGTAAACTTTAATTCAGATAAAACTCAAATTTTTTCGGCCAATCGTTATCGCAATAGTTTAGACCTTCCTATATTTATGAACGGTAATGTACTCGATGAGTCCCTACACTTCATCTTCTAGGATTAACTCTTACTTCTGATCTTTCTTGGAAACCTTATATCAAATCTGTTGCAAAATTAGCATCTGCTAATATTGCTTCTCTTTATCGAGCTCGTCACTTTTTTACTCTGGATTCTATTCTCTATCTCTATAAATCTCAAATCCGGCCTTGTATGGAATACTGTTGCCATATCTGGGGCGGATCTTCTAATGATGCCCTTTCTCTTTTAGACTAGGTGCAAAAACGCATTGTAAACATAGTTGGACCTGTTCTTACAGCCAACCTTCAACCTCTGTCACATCGTCGTAATGTTGCTTCTCTTTCTCTTTTCTACAAATACTATAATGGGCACTGCTCTAAAGAGCTAGCGTCTCTTGTGCCATTTACTAAAATTCATTCTCGTGTTACTCGTCATTCAATTAAGTCTCATCCTTTTTCTGTTACTGTTCCTAAGTGCTCCAAAAACTCTTATTCGTCTAGTTTTTTTCCTCGAATATCAGTACTTTGGAATTCGCTTCCTTCATCTTGCTTTCCTGATTCATATAATTTGCAATCTTTTAAGTCGTATGTCAATCGTTATTTTGCTCTACAATCTTTATCTTTTCTCTTCCAGTAACTTCCAACACTAATTAGTGGTTGCTTGCAGCCTTGTTGGAAGCGAAGATAAATTAAAAAAAAAAAAAAAAAATCTCAACGTAAGAATAAGATTTCCTTTTTTTTTTCCACTTCCCAGATATATTTAGAAAGTTCTGTGGTATTACCTTTACTTACATATTAAAAGGAGTTTTTCTGTTTATCCCAGCGATTTTTAAAGATATGCTCCGTTAAACCAATAATTGGAACCACTATACTGCGGTCATATTTTTACATTGCAGACGGAAATTATATTTTTACTAAGATACATACCTAGCAAAGGTCATTGTAAAGGTTGCCTGCAGTTACAAGTTGGACTAATTATGTTAGAGACATTAGATAATACTTTTTTTATTGTGTGAATAACATTGGTGACTTTAGGAAGACAGCTGATTTTTAGAATATTCCTATTAAAAATTTTGTGAAACTTAGGTGTTTTTGGAAAATGCTTTTTAATTAGATCTAAAAAATTTTTTGCGTTGTTGGTTTTTACATTTTAGGAAAACTAAGGATTAAATCAATTAATGTTTCGTGATCTAGATTTTAATTTTGATGAGGCAAGGTTTTTTTTGGAAATTCATCTTTTCATTATACCCTAACGCATTGTTTTAAAATGGTATTGATCTATCGAAAACTACTTAGCTTAGTTGGTATGGATTTAATAATACTAGGGGTTGGTTAAAACATATGTTGATGTATAATGGGTGGTTGCCTGGTTTTCTGTGTGACTGGAAAGTATTTTCTGACAAGTTGAAGGTAATATCGATAATGTATATAGTTTTGAATTTGATTTTGA